GTTTGTGTCAGGCCGCTCGACAGTATCTAATCTTACAGTTTTTAGCGAATTTTGTACTTCTTCATTCTCGGCAGGATTCCAAGTCGATTGTGTTTATACCGATTTTTCAAAGGCATTTGACAGGGTATCTCACAGGATCTTAATAAATAAGCTGGTTTGCTTAGGTTTTCACTCATCGTTTTTAGAATGGATTAAATCGTATTTAACGCAGAGATGTTCTGTGGTAACTATTGATGGTGTATCGTCGAACCCATTTGTGGCTACTTCAGGNTTCGGGCAAACACCCCTCAACATTAACCGATCTAATTCAAAGAATAAATCCTGAAAAGACAGACTTAGTGCTCTTCACTAGGAAGCACAAGATAATTGACCTCGACGCTATAACTCTAGGGGGAAAACCCTTGAAATAAATTAGGAGACCAAATATCTAGGTCTCGTGCTTGGTAGGAAACTAAACTGGTGGCCTAATATTGCAGATTGAGTGCGAAAAGCAACGGTAGCACTATATACTTGCAGCAGGTTAATAAGAAAAAGATGGCGGATGGAACCCAAAAAAATACGCGGGGTTTCGGAGCTTCCCGGATCGGTGGACTACGCCCTTCCGAACTCTGATCCCACTATAGTGTTTACGAACCTCCTACCCTCAAGGGAAGAGTGGAAACGAGACGCCCTAAGGCGTGGCGAGTCCATCAATGTATACACAGATGCCTCAAAGCTCGAGGGAAGGGTTAGTGGCCGTCCCTTCAGCTTTCATCTTCCAGACCACTGTGCGTTATCGAGCGTTTTGTCGAGGAGCCTGAATTTTCTAAAGGTGATGCTAAATCACTAAATAACTTATTTCAAGTATTTTGTAGAATTTTTACCAATATAATGATGATGCTTTTGATTCCTAAATTAATAACATGTTACAGCTCCACTTATAATATATCCATTAGGTCGCAATCTATTCACTCATCCTCTCTTAGGCTCAGCCCATTGACTCATCCAATTTTACAAATCTCTGCATACAACTTTCACTAAATCCCTAACTTATTTCCTCCAACAGTACTCTTCTTTCGATCACAATCACAGAAATTCTCGTTTTGACTTCAATTACCAACACCAATTTCGAATTTCATTCAACAACAACGATTATCTCTTTTTTTCTTGTACCTACACTTGCAAGTGTATGTACTCAATTCCTTTTGATTTCCTCTCTAATGGCTTTGGCAATCCATTCGCTTCACAACTGAATGGTCGATTGTCTCAATTGATATTGATGAGTATTCTCTTACGTTCCGTTTTTTTGAATTAGTCATCGTTTGGCTTGACACTATCCGCAATTCTCATCATTGCTAAGAAATCCACTTAACCACTTATACTAACCAACACTTTTAAGTTGTGTGTAGTGATTTTCGCTTGGCTTGGTCATTCCCTCTTGCCTGGTTTTATACGAACAATTTAGTGTTTTTATTTATTTTTTTTTTTTTTTGAATGGCTGCTTTCGCTTTGGTTTGAGTTTCAGCTGTCATTTTAGGTGATTTAATGAAGAATAATCTCCGTCGCTTCCACTACTTTCCTCATTTTTTTCTGCTCTTTTCTTTTACATTCTCTTAGTTTTTCGTCTAATAAAAAAACTTCAATGATTGCTTTGGTTGGCTTGGAGTTTATTAGCACTAAACAGTAGATATGGCAAATGAAAAACGCAAAACGGAAATGGAAGTGAAGGCTTAAAAAAGTGGCGAGTTCATTTTGAGTTTATTGTACTCGTAAATTGAGTTGGTGAAGAATAAATGAAGAGTAAGGGAAAGGCCCAATTGACTGTGTTTGGAATGAAATGCTTAGCGTTATTCTTACCAATCAATTAAGTAATCTAGTATATTTCTTTAGAATAACATAGCTCGCTATATACAAACAAATCAAATAAGTAAAAGTTTCAAACTTTGCAGAATAATTAGAATATTTCAACAAATTCTCATGAAAATTTTGAGCTTTTTATTTAGAGGTTTTAGAAGTATTCTGAGAATGCAGTTATATATTTCGTTTATTTTAGTATAATAAAGTGCAAATTTTAAAAAGCCGTTGATTATTGGCATTTTTTTTTGTGGAAGGTGTTGCTCATTTTCTCCTTACAAAAAAAATTTCGAACATACTTTGTATGGAAGAAAATGCGCTAGCAATAAATTACCAAAAATCAACGGTAACTCCTAATTACTTCACACCAAACCTGTTAAATAATGATTAATAATCATAATGATTATTAATTAAAACATGCTTTTTTGGGGAACCATTTAATGATTAAATACGATTATTCGCTACTTTTTAATGATTAATAATTAATTACTTTCAAACAAAAATTTAATTAATTAATTAATTTGAATTACATAATTATTTTGTTATTTTTGATAATTTTCACTTATTTGTGAAATTTTTTAGTTACATGATTAATATAGTCATTTGATTATTTTCAATTATTTCTGACTTTTTTAATTGCATGATTAATACAATTTTTGGATTATTTTGAATTGTTTTCCTGCAAAAGAAAAGAGCCTTTCAAACGGACCTGACGAAGTCAACGGAGTATTAAACAATATAGCAGCTTCCTTCAGCAATTCATGGCACTTCCAAATTTCCACATCTATTTATAGAAGAGTCGCTATTGTAAGAGTTGACTTTGGACAAGGCTCTTTAAGCTATCTTTATTGTGTGAAATTTGCTCAAAACTGGAATCGTCTTCATTATCTGCGATAAGAGCGTATGTGAACCAGATCTGTTAACTTTGGATTACGATTACTAATCAAAACGATTACATAGGTTCGGTAATCGTAATGAATGATTCAATTAGTGCTTTTAACCGAGGAATTAGTAATCAATTATAATTAGAATTAGTCAAAAAACAATCATGATTATTTGTCATTAAAAAACTAATCAAAAAAGTAGTTGATTAAATTTGGTGATTACTTTTGATTATCTTTTTTTGATTTTTTAATTATATTTAATTTATTATTCGATTTCATTGTAAAGAAACATACTTGTTCGGCGTCTGATGGTATGACATGCTTTAAGTAGCGGAATACACATACATAGCTAACATACATGCATACCCTCCAAAAATGCAAATATGTTGCAAATCCCTGTTATCTATGGTCATTTGAAAGAACAATGTAACACCGTATTTCACAGCTATATACATATGTTTGTCGACAAAACATTTTTTTCCGTCTGAACAATGCATTTTATTTAAAATAATTTACATAATTATAAATAATCAAAAAATAATAATTTTATTGTAAAACTAATGCCATTAGCCTTTTTAGTTTTTTTTTTATTTTTTTCTAAAATACCATTATTTTTTGATTATTTTTAATGGTAATCGGTAATTATTAATTTAAAAGCGGAAATAATGGTAATTAATTATCTAGCAGGTTTTAAAAAAATAATTAATTAAATCGGTAATCATTACAATTTATAATCATTTCTTAACAGCTCTGATGTGAATATTACTTTTACGTTTATCTAACTTATGAAAATTTGCTTGCCAAACACAGCTTCATCTATTTGCAAAAATAATTAAAAATAAATATATAGTTAGAAATAATTAAATAATTGAAGATAATCAAATAATTTAAAACTATCAAATGATTAAAACAATCAAATAATTAAAAATAATCAAATAATTAAAAAAAAAACAAATTGATTAATTTCGATTGTTTGATTATTTCTAATTACTTGATTATTTTTGATTATATTTTAAATGGCAATTAATCATGATCATTTTTTATAATTTTAAATAATAACTAATTATTAATGGCAGGGTTATGTAAGAAAACTAAAATAATCATTAAAATTAAAAAATGCAAAAAAAAAATGATTACTAATCGTAATGGAAATTTAACACCTCTGCTTCAAACTTATTATTATATTATTATTATTATTATTATTATATTATTATTATTATTATACATAAAATCATACCAAAAAATATAATCTGAAAAATCGTATTAAACTTTTGTTGAACATTTGTTAAAATTTTTAGACTTTTTATAAATTTTCGTCAAAGTGAAACTTTTATTTAGATTGTTTTTGGAATAGTAAGCTATGTTTTCGTAAAAAAATAATAATCATTTTATAACAAAATAAACATAGCCAAAGCTTGCTAAAATGGCTCTTCCCTTTTTACATTTTCGCCACCGTATATCATAAAAAATAAAATTAAAAACTATGTAGTAGAATGAAATAATTACATTTGTGAGGTAATGGTTTTATATCAGTATCTCTAGTTTTTTTATAACTACAAATTTAATTTTGTCCAAAGTGATTCTTAAAGTATATTTCATGCACAGGACAGTATTTTTGATGCGCTGAGAATCATTCTAACCCCAAACCTCTTTGAACTGGGTCTGCAAGATAACATATATATGTACATATCTGTGGCATTTTACTAAAACAAACTAAGTGACTTTAGCAAGTTTGCCTTTGAATTAATTCCCTTGAAGGGCTTTATATTTTTATTAGTCTTCCATTAAAAGGAATCTTAAACTAACCCTATGGCTAGTTAATTGTTAAAATATTTTTTTGCAAATGCAATGAAATATGGCTTTAAAGGAAAAATTCACTATCTCGAGATAAGTTGCTTTAATAAAATGCCACAGATTATTATGGCGAATGCTGTAAAACAAGGATTTTAGGTCAAAGCGAATAACAAGAGAACGGCAAAAAAGTGCGATAAAAGATGTAGAAGGTTCGACGTCAAGAAACGTCAAATGGAATGTTCGATAACTATCGATAAGAAACTTCTAGTGTTACAATAAGTGCGAGCGCGGGTATGAGTAAAGTGTTGTTATAACAGAGATTTATCATAATCTTAACAAAATTCTAGTTGTACACCACCTGTAGCATAGTAAATTGAGCGTTGATTTAACAATCGAACGAACGAATCTGCTAATGCATTAATATCTAATTTATGTATCTAAATAAAAAGCGAAAAATACTAATTTACCAATTTTTCTTATTCCTTTCAGTATTTTCAAGACTTTAAAATAATAACCATGGCCACTCAACAGCGCCATCAACATCAACGACTGCTGCAGCGACTGATAGTACATTTTGAAGTAAAATTAATTTTTTATAGATAAAATTTTGTGCAACGAATAGTCGTAAAGAAATCCAAAGCTCCCAAAATTGATCGGAAATTTTAGATCAAAAAAGACGCAAACATTTTTCACACAAAGCACTCGCCATCCTTTGGAGTAGCAAGCGCGTGTCAAAATGTGCTCCACAACACAATTTTGTTTACTCAATCTACGCACATATTTAATCTACTTGTGTTGCTATCTACTTATAATGGTGGCCGCAGGTAGTCGTGTAGTTAACGGTTTAAAGTGTTATTGCAATCCCAAAGAGTGTGATGTCATACGTTCGCTGGATTGCCCCGGGAAGGGAATGATGCTGTGGGATCCCTGCAAGTGAGTTAACAACTTTTACCTGAACTGTGGTTTTTCAATATGTTTTGCTTCAAACATCGTTTCCTTTTTTAAGTATTTATATCAAGGGCGTATAGTCAATACGATCTATCTGAAATTTTCACAAAAAGTAGTTTCTGACGTTAGCGCCCTTCTGGGGCTTAACTCCATTCACTTGTTTTTCTAACTTTATCCTAACTTTACAATACAATAGTAAATTCTGCTAGCAAGCGATATGTAAGGTCAGCCTTAACATCATCGATGGCAGATGAAACTAGTTTTTTATGAAAATTGCGGACAGATCACACAGTGTTCTATTTTGGAAAGAAAGAAACAAAATCAAATATCTACCGAAATAGATAGACAAGAGTGTTTTAAAGCTTTTGAGCCCAAAAATTTAGGAAAGATAAACGTGTTGTATAAAACAATTATCGTCACCTTCAAAATGGCGTTTGAAAATTAAAGGTTCAAATTTTTTTCATTTTTTTATTATTTTTTGTCCTAGAATAATTGGAACCGTTACATTTATTTAGCTATCTCATCTCGTTCTCGATAAAGTTGATTTCGTCCTTTCCTCCTAAAATAGAACACTGCGGATCGTATTGAATATGAGCCCTAAAACAAGATATCGAGGGCTTATGCTCAATACGATCCACTCATTTATTTTCATATGATTCCACTCCTTTACGTGCAATTCAAATCCACTATATTGCATTCATTTCAATACCACTTTAATCCATTATATTATACTTTATATGATTTCGCGATTCACCTCCAAAAATTTCATCATTCATTCATTTAATTTCATTCCATTTCTCACCTCACCTCATCACGCAGAACACCACGTCACTTTCCCTTGAATTTCTTTGCTTCTCTTTACTCCACCTCCCTTTGCTTCTTCATTTCAGTACACTTCGCTGCTTTTAACTTTATTTCACTGCACTTTACTTTATCCCTTGTTTTATCACTTCACTTCTTCAGTTCCATTTACTTTTCTTTACCTCACTTTACTCCTTGTTTTGTCACCTCACTTCATTTCTGATGACTTCACTTCTTTATATTTCATTTGGCTTCAACTTACCTCAATTCACTCCCTTCACTTTATTTACTTTTTATCCAACCTTCACTTCGGTTCACTCACTTCGCTTTACTTTAGTTAATGCCTAATCATTTCAATTAACAGTGCTTCACTTTTTTCTCTTCGATTCAAATCAGATCACATCACTTCATAACTTGACTGTACTTCATTTCACTTCAGTTCACTTCACTTCTTTATTATCTTACTTCACTCCGCTACACCTCACCTTTCAGTACTCGACTTCATTTTACGTTACTACACCAACTTTAAATATTTTTTCTTTATTTCAGATGTTGTCGCATTTGCGCAAAGACACTTGGCGAAACTTGTGGTGGTCCTGGCGGCTTCTCAGGTCAATGTGAGCCACCGTTACAGTGTGTCACGAAATTGCCCATAACTAGTGGATTGGGTGTTTGCATGGGTAAGTACAAAATAAAAATTTTGCGTACTACTCGTAATATAAGTTATGGGCCGTTTTCTCAAGTATGTTTCAAAATTTACATATCTGCCCTTCAAATACCATATTTGTTCTGAAAATGTTTTATTGAATCGTGCTTAGAAAAACGACCTTAGTGAATCAAACCTGCATTTTTATTTCAAAACTGTGAGGACGGACGAGCTAATTTGTTGAAAAGAGATTTTTAAGTTCTTAGCAGTAGATCCTTTAAAAAAACAATTTTTTGGATTTTATTTTTCAAATAAAAAAGAAAAATAATTTTTGTAAGTTGTGTGCTTTAGTCAATGACTTGGGTAATCATTTCTCAGCGACACCTGGTTTGAATCGAAGTTCGCAATTTATTTTAGTGCGCTACCGTAAAACCCACACGACCACTGGTATAGTGACGGGCTTATATACCGTAGGGGCGATAGAGTGAAGCGTGGGGAGGGAAATCACTGCGAAAGCAATATTACTGCAGGATAGTAACCATTGCTCCCGTTGAGAGCGATCCAGAGACTAGATGTTGGCTACGGTTAATGATTACTCTCAGTAAATATAGTCAGACAGCCCCTGATAGCCACAACCGCTATAAGAGTATATGCTTACGTCCTTAAATGACGTCGCACTCTTCTTTAATTGCAGCTACTTTTGCCTAAGAAATAATGCATCATTTCGAAAACCTGAATGGTATGTTTAATATGAGCTCCGGGAAAAAGCTCCTACACCAGTCACTGCCAAATTCCCAAAGCCCTCCATTGCACATTTCTTCTAACACTATTTTTAATAAATATTGTACCTAATTTAACGATGTGCAAGCTGCTTTTAAAATCTATTAGGCCCTCAGTTCACCGACTTTTGAAAGGAATTGTGTAAGGGCCTTCCCAAATTACGATAACGATATTCACAGATGCAGTAATCTGTGTGGTAAGGGTGAAATCTAGACCCTCCATAACTTCAAAGTATCTCGTCTTCGAGGCTATGAACCATCTGATTTCCTTAAGTTTAGGTTGCGGTCATTCTGCCGGCAATATCAACAGGCGTTGGGTTCAGCATGGCATTAAGCGTCAAAAAAGGAGTGTCTTACTTATACCGATTAGGACAGCCTATTGTACGCACTCTAGTGAATTTCACTAAAGAATCCATTCTAAAACATAATAGGCTTAACTATGATTTCATATAACCTATGATTTGCTTCGGGTTTCAGATCACAGCGACTAGGTATGAAAAAGTAGCCTTGAAACGTTATCGGTGGATGGGGTGAAGCGCTTGACCGATTAGGTCAAATGTTCTCCGTTCAAAATTCACGTGGTATGACAAAAGGCAATCTCCTTAGTGCCCAATTGCATCCCCCACCTGCTACAACCAATTTAATAGACGGGTTGAACGTATACACATACCAAAAAAATTGTGTATTTATATCTTAATTCAGCGTAAATGTAAATTTATCATCATCAACTGCTTTATATTCACATTTCTGTTCATCTAATTAATACCATTGTATGTGTAATAAGTTATAATTAAAATATGTTTCGTAATATAAGACTTGTGCTCGTAGCGGGAAATTATGGGAAAATAACTGAGCGACATAACGTTGTCATATTTCATTACTTATTATAGATTTCTCTTCATAAAAATACGCCATCTCGTTTGTGACTTTTTGCTCATTATTCGTTTGATTATATATTTGCACCTGTTAACATAATAATTTTCATTATAATTGGCAACATGAAAGGTTATTATTTTATATTCTGGCTAAAGATGTAATTAAATTTCTCTCGAAAAAATTTATGAAAATGTGTTAAAGCGAAGCCAAAAATCCAAAACTTAAAAAAAATTAGAACATTGTACTATAAAAAGATCCCAGAAATTGTGCTATATTAAGAACATTTACCGCACTTGACTTGTTGGCAATTTTAAATTTGCGTAGGTTGCTGACTTAATGTGGGGGCGTAATGATATTTTACATCTCTTTTTTGCAAAAAAACTATCATTTTTGGTTCGTTTTTGCAAACCAGAAGAGTCATAAGAAGCAATCCAAAGCGCAAAGGAAAACTTATAATAAGGACATCATACGCACACATAGGCTGTTTGTGTAGGTATGTAGTTCGCGCGCGCTCATAGTCATTCCTTTTATTCATTCCTTTTATTCTGGCGAATAGTAAACTTTTTCATTTGTTTGTATGTGAATACAAACATAGATTGTCTAATGTTTATTTACACTGCATGTAGTTAGTAGGCAGATACTTATCTCTTACATGTACATATCGTCGTTTAAAGTACAAAACCGCGTATTGTCATTTTGCAAAACCGCGCAAATGGCATTTGCTGCCAAAAATTGGATTTGCTGACACAAGCTCTTGGCTTAATCCTTATCCTCCTTCGCCCTGATATATTCCGGCCAGAAAGGCGATTTCTTTATAAAAAAGAGAATCATTTAGAAATATGAATGTTTTTACTCTGTAGAAAATAATATTTTGCGGTTTTGCATTTTGTTGATACGCGGTTTTGTACTTTAAGCAAAGATATGCTTTTGCTTGTTCCTTCACTACGAATGTAACATAAATGTATGTATGTATCTAACCCACTTTTTTCATAAGTATTTTACTTTTGCCAGTTAAAGTTCAATCACCCTTTTTTCCTTCCACAACACTTGGGTTAAAGACATTTTAAATTTCTTTATAAATTTCACTCTCTTGGTCGTGCACATACGGTGACGTGCTTCAACTTTATCTTTTTTCATCATTTCCGCACATTTATAAAATGATACTTAAGTATTCCATAAATAAACATTTGTGGCAAACTTGCTGGGAAATCAGTAAGACATTAGCGTTAATGCGGGTATATTTTTGGAACGATTTGAAGCGTAGGTGACGGCTCTTTCTGTTGCATGCATTTGTTGGAGTAAATTGATGCGATTTTTAGAATTTCGTTCTTAAATTAAGAAGTTTTTATTATTTCATAATCTTTATAAAGAGAAATATATAGCATTTTCATTTTAAATGAAACTATTTTCAAATTAAATGAAACCTTTTTACCTTCACCTTATGCAACAGTGAAGCATATTTTTTAGCATAGAGAAATAACTATTATATAAAACTCCTTAAAAAAAATACCATACAATTCCTAAGCGACTAATGGGACAGGTCCTTAGGACTGGTGTAAAGTAATTATGCATAAAATAAAAATTTCCTTAAACAAAAATGGCACCTTTTTTTAATATTTTTTAACAAATTAATAAAATGTAAAAAGTTTAATGCGGTTACTACTCATAACTAAGGCATTTTAAATTTTATGTCGTTTGCCACATTCACATGGAATGACCCCATTATTTATTAAATAAAAGGGTCCAGGTCTCGACATATCACTGCCAACAGTCTTATACTTAATCTTTGGAAAGGCGGGACAAAAGCACAAAATGAGTCGACATGAGTCTTTCCCACCTGCAGCACGTCGAATCTTTTTAGTCATTTCTGAGCAAAATATTCACACATTTTATGATAATCGCTTCCATGGCTGAAGGGCAGTGTGCTATAACTGGTTTCGGACGAAACAAAATTTTCTATGATGAATTCCACATCCAAGAACTACAAAGCCATAGAGTCAGAAAATAACTTAGTAAAAGTAAAGCCATCATTTTATAACGTAGGTGCATCCTACAGAAAACTAAGTAAATGACGTAAGTACCAACTTCTTACCCCTCTGCCCAATATTAAACTTCTTCGTTAACTTTCTACAAGTATCACGAATCCTGTACAAGTATTTCAATCCATCAGAATTCGCAAGGAAAATTTCTCTAATCAATCGAAGACTCATTTACCACAACTCCTACCAGCATTCGCCGTTTACACGCTTGTACATTATCTGTGGTCACATGTTTCCGTTGGTCGCATTTGCTATGCGCCAGCATCTCTCACTGCTGACAAGTAATACACATGTACTTAGTTAGTGGCATGTGTATGAGCATATTAGATCTCACAAGTATCATGTATATATGTATATGTATATTAGGGCGGGTCAATTTCTATGCGAGATTCTACGTGTGGGGTTAGCCAAATTGCTAAAATGAGTTTCTTAGCATTTTGCTGTAGTGTCGTAAGGAAGTGCTAAATTTTATATAAAGATATGCTATAAGGGATTGTTTGGTATGTAAAATCCACTTATTCACTTATCTTTTTCTGAAAACTTCCACCAGAGGCCGCAACAGTGAAAATTTTCACATTTTCACAATTTGGCAAACTCCAAATTAATTTTAGACCCAAGGTTTCTTCGGAAAATTTGATTAAAACTACACCTAGAATCCTCCTATGCTATACGCGCATAGTAAAAACAAAAATACCCGCCCTAATGTTCATACACATATACTTTCCTCTAGGTAACATGAGACCACTCAATTAATTCGTGCGCATGTGGGTGCAAAGGATGCTTTGCTTTTATTAATCGTACCCATGTCCTTCACGCTGTGTTCCTACGACATACTAACTAACTAAATGCAGATATATGTATATGCACATATGTGCATTCAAACAGCCGCATGTAAGAGTTCACCTAGCTTCTAGTACGCCCTTAGCTAAGTGGTTTTCTACACTGACGACTAGCTGCCTCGCATAAAACCTTCACCCATCAGCAAAAGGCCACTTGTGCCACTCAAGTGCAACTCTTGCTTCTATAGATCTATACTTACAAATGTAAATGTATATGTAAGTATGTATATTAGGGTAGTAAATTTTTAGGATCTACGTAGAATTCTAAGAAAACGTCCGCAAGAAACTATGGGTCTAAAATAAAAACCTAGTTCCCGTCGATACTGAAATCTGTATGCCTCCCGGCGCGGGCTAGGTTTCAATTTTAGACCCCTAGTTTCTTTGGGTAATTTTCTTAGAATTAGGCGTAGATTTAGTTTTTACCTTACGCCTTCCACTTTTTTTCTCTCCCGTACAATTTGACCCTTCCTAATGTATATGCATAAACCCAGGTATAAACGA